ATTGCATTCCAGGTTATGCTAGTAGCATCCTAGACAATGCTATCAGCATCCCAGGTGATGATAATAGCATTCCAGACGATGCTAATAGTATCCCAAGTAATGCTAACAGGATCCCAGGTAATGCTACCAGCATTCCAGGTGACGCTAGTAGCATTTCAGATAGTTCTACTAGCATTTCAAGTAATGGCTATGCGAGCTTGAAGTTTGAATTTGACCTAATTTGGAGCTCACGTTTTTTGACAGATACGTAAGTGAGCTCCAAATTTGGAGTTTATGCACTTTGGAGCTCACTTTTTTTTTACCTCGACTATTCGACTTTTCAACTATTCGATGAGGGTGCCGCATAGCGTGTCACACCACATCTATCTCGATGTGGGTGCCGCGAAGGGTGTCACACCACATCTATCTCGATGTGGGTGCCGCGAAGGGTGTCACACCACGTCTATCTCAATGTGGGTGCCACGAAGGGTTTGAATAGTTGAATAGTCGATAGTTAAAAAGTTGAAAGTTGAATAGTTGAAAGTTGAATAGTTGAAAGTTGAATAGTTGAATAGTTGAATAGTTGAAAGTTGAATAGTTGAATAGTTGAAAGTTGAATAGTTGAATAGTTGAAAGTTGAATAGTTGAAAGTTGAAAATTGAAAGTTGAATAGTTGAAACGACTTAACGGCTTCTACGCTACTGAAAAATAATGGACGATATGCTTATTTACCTATATTTCCAACAGAATATGTTGGTCTAAATGAGTGTTTACTTTTGGCTAATGTACCAGGTTCGTATGTTCGATATAAATTGATTATAAATCATTTCATTGCATTGTCTTTTAGTTAGTCGTCTTGCAGCTCATCAAATTAATCGACGTCAATATGGAGCCTATACTTTCGATGCACTGATGCTGATGAATAAGTACAATTATTCCGATGAATTTAGTTTATCTGAACAAGATGCTAATGAATTAGCTTCACGATTACAAGTAGGCAAATCAATAATTACTTTCAATGCACAACGACTTCGTAGCATCTGTCATACTCTTCTTGCATTTCATGAATCATTTCGACGATATGTTCTATGTAAGAGTGATGTTGTTCTAAAAGAACCAACACCCAATTCGAAACAAATAGCTATGGCATTGGAATTCTATTTACAAATCGATGGTTAGTCTTCATGTCGATATATATATATGAAGAATATATATGTTTCATATTTTTTAGTGGATTTATTCTATATGAAAACTTGTTCGTTTCCAGGAGCTCAACCTCCATCTAATATAGAAGGTCTATTTTGTGGAAGAGATGAACCTCAAGCAAGATATTCATTGGTTCCATGTAATAATCTTTTTTGTCAATGTTGTCTTCCATTAAATACTTACAAGAAAAGTCAACCATGGCCAATTGTTAATTTTGCTTCAAGTTCAATGCATCGATTTCTCAATGGTTATACTATCTATCTCAATTGTCCAGCAGTATGTTGTCCTTAAATGTTGAATTTTATATCGATCGACTATGACTAAAATTTAGACATGTACTACATCGAATATAATTTATGTCATGACATGTCCATGTGGTCATTATGATTATGTTGATTCAACAGCAAAAACATTGGCTCATGCTATGGCTTGTAAACATAAATTTTCTTACGATAATCATGAGCATGCCTTTATTTCTCTTCTTCTTTTTCTTATAATATTACAGATCATCGAGAACATGGCAATCGAATTATACATGAAAAATTAACTGGTAGTTCTCTATTTCGAGGATCACAAATCGATCCAAATGAAAGAGAGTAATAAAAGACATTCGATCATTCTTTCCATTATGCTACATATTCATTGTTTTCTTTTTCATTGTTGTGGAAAAGAAATGGCTAATCAAATGCGTCTCTATCAACATTCAGCTCGTTGTCCAGAAACACTTCGTTCATTTCTTGATTGCAATCCTATGTATTGGTGTTTTATTCCTCTACCTTGGGATGAAGCAGCAACAGAAAATGTTGCTAATCGTCCAGGAAATTCTACTACAGATCCCAATCTGGATGCTGTGATAGCAACTACTGCCGTAGACAATCGTAGGGTGGCCAATTATCTAGATAATGTACCATTACCACCAACTTCCTATGCCTTCTCATTTCGACAGCTAAAACAACAGCGTCTATTTTTCGAACGATTTGCTACGTCTTCCATTCATTACCGGCCTTATATCAAATTAGATTTGTATAACATAGCAATTATTGCCGTTTGTAAGTAAATCTATCTTTATCAACTACATCATCATCATCATTATCATTTATACCTGTTTTTCTTTCACATTGATTTAGTACCAGATGATTGTTCAACGATACTACGATACATCATCGAAACATTATTCATTACTCATGGTGAAACTAAATTGAATATGATTTGTCCACTTGGTGGTGATGCTGAAAAACGTTACGGTCCTTCGTATAACCTACATTGGTGTGCTAATTTGAATCATTCATCAATGTAAACCACGACATCAACTCAGTGACCTTTAAAAACTACAATGGTCACTATTATAAAATAATATTTAATCAACATAAGCAACTTTATTTACCTCGTAGAAATTAGTTAACTTTTAGTATTTGTAATCTGTGTGAGAAATCGTTAACCTTAGATTAATAAAATACATTTGCGCACTTCTTCTAATATCATACTAATTGGGCGTGACCAACTGTCAGAAGGCCCCAATCCTCATTCATTCATGTAGGTTCAACTATCTATCAGAAAAACGTGATCTTTTTATCACTTATACCACTTGTATAATGCTATTGATCTGTAACTGTTTGAGATATAAATATTGGTAAAAATGAGGATTACTAAGGACATCCTTATGATTATATGGTAAACATGCTTCATATCATATTTGTTAACGCACACCATTCTCCACTAGATATTTATGACAACATGAAAAAGCAATAGGTTTCATTATTAAGTAATTAATCAGAAAATACAAGTTATGATTTTATTCATCTACGAATAGGATGTTTTATTAAGTTCAAATTACATAGAGCACAAACGACTTGTACGATTTTTGTTGCCTTATGAAAATCGTCAATAGCTCCTCTGTAGACACCACCAAGAATTGCATACGTTTTCAGACGTTGATTAATATTTTCAATAGCTGCTCTTGCGCTGTTAATGTCATAATTGAAATCCTTATCTTCATCTATTAATTCACGTCCACGAGACTTCTTTCTTGGAGTCATCACATATTCTTCACCAATGTATCCTTTGTCACCAATAATTTGCACATCATCGTTTACATGTTCTAATAGTCCTGATTCTCTTAGAACTGTAATATCATGTACACTTCCACGATAACATTCGGATACATGTACTATTCGATGATGAAAATCGCAAGCTATTTGTACTTTCAATGCATAATTTGTTGAACTTTTTGCGTGATAATATGCTTTACGTAGTTGTGAATCATAAGGTTCCGGAATTGCAATAAAAGTCGAGTCGACTATTAGCTTGTGGTATCGTTGAGGTCCGTGTGGTGTTCTACTGCTAGATATATTAGCAGGTATTGAAATTAATTCTGGATATACACACGAATGTAAAATATCGAGAACTGTTGATAACAAATAATTCACTGCTTGTTGACTTATATTCAATTCCGAAGCAATATAACGTTCAGAATGATAATGTTTTAAGTGCCATAGTATAACGACAAGCATATCCATAGGAGATAAATAAAAGGTAGCAGCACTGTTCGTAAGTCGGTAGTTCTTATGAGAGCAATAATTTATCAGTGGTTCTTCACACATGGAGTATAATTCTTGTACTTGCTCGACGTCATAACCGGTATGTTGAATGCAAGATGCATTGGTACGTCTCCATTCGGACCAAGGACGTTGTTCTACAATACAAAAAAGTACAATAGTTATTAATTTGACTACTTTGGTAGCATAAAATAGTTGACTAAGAAACGCATATGTAAACTAACAGAGAGATGTTACTTACTATCATCTAAAGCCCGAAGTTGTTGTTGTTTCTCTTCCATTTCGTGTTGTTTTTCTTCTTCAAGTTCTGGTGTACAAAAGCTACAATTGTCACGATGACGATAATAATTCTTATATAGACCGGACCTTGATGAACCAGTACATGTCCACGTTAACATTGAGTGACATTCGGTGCAATATTTACGACGATCACTTGGAGCATAATCGCATTCAGAGCAATTCCATTTAACTTGTGAGGAAGACATAATCCAAGGGTGATAAACGTTTGTGTGTGTTATCGAGTTAAAGTATGTTAAAGAAAACGGGGAAACGAGAGAAAGCGAAAAGATCACGATTCGAACAGGAATGATCCAATGAGAACCCGACGCTAGGACAGAATGGATAGAATATTATCGTATATGGAATTTATAGCGAGGACAATATATCAACAAATATGATGTGAAGCATGTTTACCATATAATCATAAGGATGTCCTTAGTAATCCTCATTTTTACCAATATTTATATCTCAAACAGTTACAGATCAACAGCATTAGACAAGTGGTATAAGTGATAAAAAGATCACGTTTTTCTGATAGATAGTTGAACCTACATGAATGAATGAGCATTGGGGCCTCCTGACAATTGGTCACGCCCATATGATTTTATTCTTGATACACAAAGCCAAATTGATCTATATCCATGGGCTAGTAAATCTACTCCATCATTATTACAAATAAAATTTAATTCTTTTAAACATTCCCCGTTGATTCTTCTTATTGAAGTTTTATACTTGAAATCGAATTTTTCTACACGAACACCCGATTATACTAAACAACAAAAAATAAAACAATTATTTAAAACAATTTTTTCACCAACTAAATATATATTTGCATGGGGTAACGTAAAAGAAAAATGAACACCATTTTATAAATATGAATTATTCACTGAAAACGATTTAAATCAATTAAATATAATTGATTTACATGCACGTTTTGGAGAGTGGTATAAATTGTCCTTTCTATTGTCATTAATTAATAAAATGAGATCAAAGAATGAACCATATTCGTTACAAACAGCCATTTTTCTTGTTTTTGACGAATGGCTAAATACACGTATGCAATATGCTTCATGGAATTGTGGTATTGACACTAATTTAAAAACTTATCATTGTCAATTTTCGTCTAAAATTGACAATGATTATTATCATTTCGTTCGAGACGAAATTAATTATCGTAAAGAAATGGAAATATATGCCATTTCTAATTGTTTCGCTATAACAAAATTAATGAATTTAATGTTAAAGCAATATCCATTAAGTGAGAACAAAAATTTTTCATCATCTAAAATTATTCACTATAAACGTAACAAAAGACCTCAATCATTAGTGTAAATAAACATATATATTTGTCTGCTTTCTTTTTTTTCTCTTTGCTTAATAAAGTGTGTAAATATATATATACATTTGATTTAAATTTCTACTTACGATTCTAGATTACATAATAAATTTTACATTACTTACACTCGACTTCTCAATATGACTATGACATCTCCATATAAAAAATTAATTGGTCTTAGTCAAATTCTACAAAATTTATCTGATGATACAATTGATAATGAAATTCAAATGGATACTCAAGTGACTGAAACTATGGCAGCTACGGTCATAAAAATTATTTTCAACGTTTCCTTTTCATCACTAATTTCTTTTTAATTTTATTTTCTAGGAACATAATGAAGAAGAATTACAACGGCTAGCTATTCGTGAAGTATTTAAACTATTGGATGCAGTCGATGGTGTTGCAAAATTAAAAACAACATTTTCTCCTTGTAAAAGAATGAAGATATAACTCTTAAAATATACTTGTATTAGCATTTTGTTGTTGTTGTTGTTTTTTTTTTCGTCTTGTTGTATCTATGTTCTTATAATTATAGCTCTTAGTTTATATCACATATATTGTTCACCTTAGATTGTAGACATTCTTTCGATAGCGACGTACTTTACTATTGATGGTTTATGAAAATTCAGTAGTAAATATAAACTTTTGATTATATATATCATCAACTCTAAAATAAACATCATATGAAAAGATATGCCACATAGATAAAAAGTTCCAGTATTGGACATGAGCTATTCTCAACTCTGCTACTATAGTTGGCTATAATCTTGTACGCCTTCACTTATTTACAGAAAATGAATATTCAACAATATTTTATGATCAAGACAGATGGCTTTCTTTTATGCTGGAGGTTCCACATGAATTCATCTCTTGTACGTTATGTAATATATATATATATATATATATATACATTTATAATACAGAACGATTTCATTTTCCGTTTCTTTTATATAGTTAATTATCAATAAAATAAATGTAGATTTCTATAGTCTTTTCTTCGTATTCTAGATTATCATTCACATCAGGTTCTATCAATAAAAAAAAAACTGTTATGCACACTACTCAAAACTGCGTTTATCAACAAAGACACATGTCAGGAGAAGATGAGCAACATGAACGGCAACGGCAGCTACTACGTATTATGCAACAATTGCAACAAGAAGATAAATCACCGGTAGCATCTGTAGCAACACCGTTGCAACAGCAACATTTACAAGGGCAACAATTAGTACGGCAAACTATTCCAGAATCTGACGATACGCTTCTACTTATACTACTACAAGGACAACAACAACAACAAGGAGAAAGCATTCAAGCAATGCAATCTCAATACTAACACCACTTCCTACATCAACAACAACCAGTTGAAAATTATATACCAATAACATTAAAGGAGCACAATAAAGACCGATGTGCATATTTGCCTACTTTTCCTTATTTGAAGTCATGCAAGTCAAATGAAATTCCTTTATTGTTAGCTAATGTGTCAACAAGTATATTAGGTGCACATGATTTAAATCGTCGATATGCTACTTGTTATGATGGTCCATTCATTTCAATAATTCTAAGCGATCAAATGGATTCATATATGTATGATTGTTTTAAACGAGATTTTATGGATTTAATTGAACGGTTAAGAATTAATCCAGCCATAATAGATTTTAATCTTAGACGTTTGCGACGTATTGTAGAAAGATTACAAATTTTACAAATGGTGTTTTCTCGACGATTTACTCAATTGAACAACAATAATGTTCCATTATCTGCACAACAAGATATAAATTTCCCAAATAATCTACTCAAACTTGATGAAATTGAATTAAGAATAGGTCTAGAATTTTTCTTACAAATCGATGTTAATCTATTCTATATGAAAACCTGTACATTTCGTGATGCATGGCCTCGATCTTTAGATGAAGGTCTATTTTGTAAATCACAATTACCTATTGTACGATATACTTTTCAACCTTGTCAAAATATTTCTTGCACATTATGTGAATCATCATCAACAATTATACAATTTAATTCATATCGAACACATCGCTTTCTTAACGGTTATTATGCAATTCTTAATTGTCCAGTTACATGTGAAACGAAAAATCTAATCTATACTTTAACTTGTCCATGTAGTGAATATGCTTTTATTGGATCAACATCTTCCAATATATCGGAAGTGATTGAATCTATTCGAGAAAATAGTAATCAATTGATGCATGAAACATTAATATCTAGAAACTCGGCTTTTAATTTACATCGTGATATGAACAATTTTTTACATAATCAAAAAGAATTCATTCGTTTATATCAACATTCAATACGTTGTCCTAAAGCCATTCAATTGTTTTTACATGTGAATTCTGATTATGATTGTTTTATTCCAATGACTTATGATCAAGCAAGAGTTGATGATAGAAATAAAATTATAGAACTATCGCCTGTAAGTAATTTTAATGATATATTTATTCAACATGTACCAATACCACCTAATGGTTATATTTTTTCAAATTGTCAGCAAGAAAAACAAAGAAAATTCTTGGAAAGATCACATTTAATAAAAAGTCGTAATGAAAAACTGTTTACATCCGTTGATTTTTATAATGTTTCAGTTATAGCCGTTCTACCAGAAAATTGTTCAACATTATTACGTCAAGTACTTGAATGTCTCTTTGCAACACATCCCGAAACAAAATTAAATATGTTTAATTTACGTACAAAAGATACATACGAATTATATGGATTACCTTATCATAGAGTATGGTGTGAAAATATAATACTTTCATCGTCAACCAGTTCGTAGTTCATTTAGACTACGAGAAAAACTTCTCCGTAGAGTAGTAGTTTCGTAGTTTGTTATATGTTTCCATTAGTAGTATTTCTTGCTCAGAATGCAAATAGGTTTCTGAACATTTGATAGATTAAAATTTCTGTTACAATTCCAATGTATAATTTTATTGTTTTTTGTTTTTTTTGTATTGTGTTTTAGACAAAAAAATTTTCATTAGAAAGAAAATTCAACTCGAATGGATCTCTTATCGCGTGTCTTCTATTTAGATTAATAATAATTATCATTTTGTTACTCATATTACTTCATTCATCGACAATATTTGTTTTCAGATCGTCAGAAGAGCAACAATAATCGAATCATGTCATTGAAGAAATCAAAATGGCACTGTCCATTTAAACTAACCAGGCAAAGATTTCCTTTGGAAGAAGAAAATGTAACTGAATATCAACCGAACACACTTAATAAACATAATCAAGGACGCCGACAATTTTTACCGACGTTTCCAAATCAACCAAATCAATCGATACAAATTGCACCACTACTTTTAGTTAGTATACCAGCAGAGAAGTTATCGGTCATCGAATTAATGCGACGAGATTCAGGCGTTTATCCTGATCCAATGAACTCGAAATATAACCAACAAGTACCGTCTTATCTCTACTTTATTTATGATAATTTACTTGGTCATTTAAAAACACGTTTAAATGTTGATGCATCCATTCTTGATTATAATTTATATCGGCTATATCATATAATTGATCTTTTCATTAGTAAATATCGTACGTATGAAGGTTCAGATTTTCTATTTGATCATCATTTTAAAGTTCCTATACATGAAAAATTTTTACGGCGCTTGGAACAATATGAATTATTAATTTTATTAGAGTTTTTCTTACAGCTTGATGTCGATATGTTCTTCATGAAAACCAGCAATGTCAAAGGTCCAAAAAATATCCACTTTACTTAAAGTCCGCTAGTGAATATGTAGGACTTTACGTACCTTATGAAATGTGACATATATCAGTAGTGATAGGAAGAGCAAAATATAAATACTCCACCAGAGGATGTTTCTTTCTTCCAGCGGACTCGTCTATTCTCTTCAGGACTTTTCTTTTCATATGATTTTTTTTCTCGAGATAAATATAAGAAACGATTGAATAAATTCAAATCAAAGGAATAATTTATTGTATATATATGATGGACAAGAGGATGTTTCTTTCTTCTAGCGGATTTTCCTCTTCTCTTCAGCACTTTTCTTTTCATATGATTTTATTTATCGAGGTGAATGTAAGAACATTTGAATAGATTTAATCAGAGAAATAATTTCTTGCATACATATGATGAACAAAAGGATGTTTCTTTCTCCTAGCGGACCTTTCTATTTTCTTCAGGACTTTTCTTTTCATACGATTTTATTTATCGAGGTGAATATGAAAACATTCAAATAGATTTAATCAAAGAAATAATTTGTTGTATACATATGATAAACAAAAGGATGTTTCTTTCTTCCAGCAGACTTTTCTATTCTCTTCAGGACTTTTCTTTTCATATGATTTCTTTTCTCGAGATAAATATAAGAAACGATTGAATAAATTCAAATCAAAGGAATAATTTATTGTATATGTGGCAGATTAGTTTGGAATTCAGTTGAGATTGGAATGGCAATATTGGAACTTTCTAATAAGAAATATCGTTAGCATACTCGATCACAAACATAGTTATTATACTAAGTATGTTGTCTATTTTTCTACAAAGATTATGAATCATTTCCATAGCTCTTTAATGTTGAGAAAATGGGAACATTGAATCGTTAGTTGACGTTTACTTGAAAAATAAATCCTTTTCTTTTTTTTTCTGAGAGTGATTTTGTTTTCAATGAATATAAATTTTTACTGATTTCAATGATTTCTATTTTCAATGATGGGGACTTGGGGACATTGATTCATTCGTTGAAGTTTTGTCGAAAAATAAATCCTTTTCTCTTTATCTGAGAGAGAAATTTCTTGTTTCAATGATTATAGAATTTTGCTGATATTTATTTTCAATGATGGGGACATGGGGACATTGAATCTTTAGTCGAAGATTAGTTGAAAAATAAATCTTTTTCTTTTCTTTCTGAGAGAGATTTTGTTTTCAATGAATATACGTTTTCGCTGACGTTTATTTTCGATGATGGGTACATGAGAACGTTAAAATTCGTTGTAGTTTGATTGAAAATAATATTTATTTTATATATTGAACAAGAATTTTACTGTTGTTTCAGATCAGGAATAGCTCAACTAGGGAAGTTTCGGAAAATAAAACACACTCCCAATAATGAGAAATTTCTACTATTATTATTAGTGAAAAGGGCAGAAAATAAATAAACACTCACAATATGTGAAATTTTTTTTAAAAATACAAAAATAAATTGTGTTTCTCTCTAACATCATGCACATTAAAATTAGAAGTTTTTTAGCTCCGGGAAAAACAACGAATGTACAATCATAGTTGACGTGAGAACTCTCTGATTTTTACTTTGAATGCGTTATTATGAGATGTTCACCTCTGAAGAGCTTCGTTTTTCATATGAAACCCACGAGCGGGGTGGCCTTCAGTAGGCTAATATTTAAAGGAATCGTCATAAGTGCCATTTAACGATAGTTCAGTTTTTGAACAAAATGAACCGGATGGGGAAAGTTTTTATCAGCCTGCAAAAAAGTCTACACTGAGAAGTAGTGCCAGTTGCATAATTGTAAGCAATTTTCAAAGACTTAAGCCTTAATCCAAGAAAACTTTAGTTCATTGTAGTTTTCGCAAAGGATCATCTCAACGAATAGTCACTAGCATGAAGGCCTTTGATCAAGGGGGAAACGGCGGACTTTTGGACTTGAAGTTACTTTCAGCTACTTTCAGCTACTTCAAGTTACCTTCAGCTACTTTCAGCTACTTGAAGTAGCTTACTTTGAAGTATTTTTCGACTTCAAATTTACCTTAAGTTACTTTAAGCTACTTGTTCCTACTTTGGGCTACTTGGGTGGTACTTTGAGCTACTTCAAGTAGTCTACTTTGACGTACTTTGACGTACTTTTCTACTTCAAGTCCGCCGTTTCCCCCTTGCCTTTGATATTAAAAATGATGAGAATTTTTTTCAAATTCTTATGAAGTTATTTTCTGGGAAAAGAAGGAGATAACCACGAACTTTTTTATCGTGTAAGATACTTCCGGATTCAAAATCTTCTGGTACTACCAATAGCAAAAAAATAACAGCATAACAATCGAAAAATAAATTTGAATGCTTCTCTTAATCTTGATCAACTGAGAACTTCCGCGTACATCTCTCTTCTGCTCATTCACTTCTTTTATCTTAAATCCCAGTAATCATCAATCATCCTTTTAATGTTTTTTCCATATGCTGATATTCATTGAGCTGTCTTCTAG